GTTCAAAGGGGGTGATTTGACTTGCGAATTGGATGACTGAGCGAGGTCAATGTTCTGCTTCGTTTCGTTTGTGAATCCGGCCTTGTAGCGTTGAAAGCAATCGGTTTCGGTTTTGTGAAGAGGGCTATGACAACCTAGGACAAATGGCCTGAAAAGGATAGAAGCGAAGCGCAATGGCCTGGATTCCTGACTACAGTAATGGTTGCCTGCCATGATAGTCCCCTTCTTTACTGAGGGTTATCTTTAGCAGAGAAAGGAGGACAGGCCAGCTTGCTGCGTCTCTCCAACACTTACGACACCTTTCTTCCCTTGGCACTCAGGCTGAGTACGATATTTATGATGGGGAGCACAGCTATCCCTGGCCACAGGGTTTCGGCAAATTTTTCGATATGAATTATTCCTAGGGCTGGAATCTATGGCACGGGTGCGAGTTGGTCTCGTGGCACAAGTATGTATGCTATGCTGGCTATGCATAGCAGTATGCTGAGGGGCTCAACAAACCCCTGAGGAAGAAGCTCAAGCTGGATCTACCTCCGCAAAAAAAATCGGTGAAAAATTCTCAGGGAAAGGGGTATTAAATGATATACAGTTCAACAACTGCATGAATACTGGAGAGATAGTATCACTAGATAAGCTTACATAGAGAATGTCCTTCAAGGTGGAGTGTAGGTCATGGTGAGTGATGAGTTCTTCGCTGTTCTTCAGCAACTGATCACGCACTTTTGACTTCCGGAGATGTTTCGGCAGTACTATGTAAAGGAATGGATTGTTATATTCCCTGATACCATATTTGGTGTAAGCTTCCTGCAAGGAATAAGCTTTAATTTTGGGCTCCGTTATAAGCGTTAGGATATGAGGTCTCCGTCATTAGAACATTAGGTATTTAGAAGATTCCTGCTTTACTTTGAAGGAACCCTTTGCTCAATGTCCGGATGCAAAACCCTGGGCAACCTATTAATCCTTCATTTGACTACAGTTCTATGCTGTATTATTCAACAGGATATTTCCAAGGAATAGTTTCTACGGAGGCTATTACAGTGACCTCTTCAATGCTCTTCGAAGCATCGTAGTTGAATCTCTACTCCTTACATAGTTATTACATGTGTTATCTCAATGGAAACATTGAAAAGCTATATCAACCTGTATGAATTTCGAAAAATACGTCAAGCACATAAAAGGGATATGAAATTAGATCGCTACTGAACTTTCGAGCCTATAAAAGGAGATTGAAGAGAAAACACTTGTGCTCAAGAGTTCAGTAGTCTGGAAATAATCACGAATTTTATTATTTATAAGCTATATAAAACTCCTACTGAAATAAACTGCTAATCAGGTACCAGCTATGACCATAATTTGATGAATTTATGGTCTTCACTGCTCGTCTGTTACGGTAAGCACAGCGGAACCCATTAAGGTTCCTTTTGCACTCAGAACTCAGCTATTCGAATAGTTTACTTCACGCTGAGTCAGCTCATCCGCAAGCCTTGAACGTGTTGTGCAGGCGAAGTGAACGCTAGTGAAGCCCAGCTTGAGATAGAGTTACCATTGGCAATTATACAGTATCACAACGTACTGGCAGACAGCGCACTACTATGCGAGAAGATCGGCCTCAGAACAAACATTCTTCTTTCATCTCATATGCGATAAGTGTTGCAATACAGTTTAGTATTGTTACAGCACATTACGAGATGTAGTTCAGCTAGTTAACACTTCTTATTGCAACATCAAGCAGCAACTGGTTTGCAGCAGGCTGTACGACAAATAGCGCATATTGAGGGATTGTACCATCTGTTAACAAGGCAGATTCTGTGCTTGAGCTAACTTGCGCGTGATCTCACAAATAGAATGCTGTACATTTTCCCTCTAACTCCACTACTTTTCAAACCGAATTCACGACTTTCCCAACCAGAATCACGACTTTTCAATACAGATCCGAGACTTAGTTACCCATGCCTTACTAGACACTACTGCAAGCCCCACCCTAAAGCCACGCTCCACATTTCAGCGTGGTTGTGATTTTCAAATTCTATTTCATAAAGTCCGCATTTGGGACTTTTTTGCACTTTTGCTACTTCGCAAACACTCCACTAGCTGAATAGGACTGTATATCGGCATATGGGTAACTCCGCCCATTTTTCAAAGGATTTGTAGCTAACATCGCCTTTTCATAACTTTTTTCAACGTTAATTTTTCACTTCCACTTTACACAACTGCGGCATTCGTAATCTCCGCATTCAGGCACTGGGCAATTTTAGGCTCCTTCCTTAGCCACACTGCATTTGCGGGTTTATGCAAGAAGTTTTGATATGTTTCAAGGATGCTTTGGCGCTTCGTTTAAAACTGCTACTTGAAGCCCGCCACGTGCATTGTGAGAAATCTCGCCCACGTTGGAGAATCCTGCCACTGTGAAAGTGAATGCAAGTCGGCAGTAAAAGTCTCGTGCTTGCATGCGCAGGGTTCCGCGCCGCCACTCAGGAACGAACGTATAATCAGGCAAAAGTGTTGTTCTAAGTGACCAGCAAACATCCTAGCGATGCCAGCGAGCTCTAGTTTTGCCTAATTCGCCTTGTTTTTAAAAAGTTGGACGGAGCTTCTCACAGTGGGCGGGCCGCATCGAAGCGGTCCGCAAAGAAAACAAAAATGTTGAAAAAACTTCAGCATTTTTGCACCGCAAAGTGGAGGCTGGGCAAGGTGACGAGCCTAAATTGCGCCGGCATAAGTGCATTTCCACGAGTAGCCGTTTCGTATTGTGGAACGTGGGAATGAAAACAACGACGCTGAGAAAAGTTACGAGAAGTCTGAGTTTGCATCAAATCCTTTGAAAAACGGGCGGGTTGCCCATGTGCCGATGTACAGCCTATCCAGCTGAATTGTCACTTGCCCGCTTAACAATCAAACCTAGCCGCCCTAATACGCTCCATCCTTCCAAACAGAATGACAAGATGCAAGTGCAACCAAACGTCCCGTGACAAAGACGGCAAGGAGCTGCAATAATGTATCCTTGGAGGCACGCTGTGCACATCAAATGCCGCAGGTACAATGGCGACATTGTGTCAAATGTCAAGAGCCAAACGAGAGAATCTAAGCAGTTTCGATAATGTAAATGGAATTCAAGTAACTTCTCTAAAATGAATTTCACTTCTTTAATGTTTTACAGCAAATAGCATGGGGATAGACAGGAATGGACCTCACTTGACATGGAACAAAGTTCTAAACTTTGTTATGAAAGCTCTGCATCCACTTACCGCACCGAATCGTGGACCGTGATCTCCCAGGAAAAATATGAAAGAGTTACTAAGCTGAAAAACATTCGAGTTCAAAGCCAGTTTCGGCGGACAAGATCGTGTATAGATTACCGCTTTTGCATTTTTCAGGAAGAAGTTGTAAAAATCGTAATCGCCCTTGTATATGTCCGCTGTATCGTCGTGTGCCAGTTCACTGAGCCACGATATTGAGAACTTTGCCAATCCTGCAATAAGCAATTGATAGCAGAATGGGGCTCCTCGGAGGAAGGGTCACCTCCTGAAATGCTTCCGTTTTGTCAACTGTTTCTCCAGGGTCCAGCAATTTCAAGCTGAGTAATAAGGTAACTCTCGTTACAAATATTTCAATCGCTTTCACAAAACAAGCTAGATGCAAAGACCTACAGCCATTCTTATGCTTACATCACAAATGCAGTCATTACCGGTAGGGTTAGCAGTGATGAATTTGAGTATTATGTCTTTCTCAAGTACGAGAGCAAATTTGCAGAGTAGTACGTGTAGTAGGCTCGCTCTACATGCTGCAATCAAAATGTGTAAGGCGGAGAGCGGACACTCTGCGGTAAACTTTTAGGGAGCGCGCCCTTACAAACGTTTGAAACTGAGCAATAAAAACATCGTTTTTGCGCAATCCTAACCATTCTGTAATCGCCTCTTCCTACACGGCATGGTGCAGAAATATCAAGAACTTCCCTTGAACAATCCAGATTGGTATTATGATTATTGACGCACTTAACGTTCCAGACAGGGCACGCCACTCTGTTTGTTGATCATCACAACGCGGGGGAGGGTCGTATTTGCCGCGATGGAGGGGGGGGGGGTCGTAAACGCATGGCCCATGTTGAAGTGGAGAGAGCGGTGATACACGGTACAAGTGAAAAGAAGCTCAAAAGGGACGATGTAGATGACAATAAATAGAACTAGGCACTATCGAACTATTCCTAGGCCAAGAACTAAAAAAAAATATTGCTGAAACTTTTTCCTCCTTCCTCACAAAAAACACTTGCTAGCGCACTTCGCCCACCAACCCCTCCTCATCTGGTCCAGATAAATCCCAATCCACTAATCCGCAAAATCTAGAAAAGAATCCATTGCAAAAGCTACCTATGAAACCGTAGAAACTGAATCCTGAGCAATTTCCTCACAACAAAATCAAACTCAACAAAACGGAAATCCCAAACTTAATCAAACAAACAACAAAATAATTAACAGTCAATGGATAAGAAAAAATACTCACCAGGCCAGCTGGGAACCGGAACTATGGATTACTTTTGAATTTTGGCTGTTCGCGGTCAGCGCGCTCATACAAGCGCATTGGTGCGCGCTATTTTACGGTTTGGAGCCAATTTCAAGCCAAACACGTGAAAAGTACCCCTCATTTGAACACCCATAACTTCGTTGAAAGTGAAGCTATCGGAGAGGGGTAAGTGGGAATGAGTAGAGCTAGGTTGGCTCTTATCACATGAATTGAGCGATTTTCAAAAACGTTTCGCGGTTTCGCAGAAGATTTTCCCAGTTGTGATCATCTTTGTGATCGGCGTCTGTGATCAATTTGCGCCACCGCCTGAGTCCGCTACGCTTTGGACGTCTGCGTAAGCTTCATTAACGGCCCTTTCATAAAAAAAAAGAATTCGTGTCCGCGAATCTTGATAATTTTCTAGCTTTGCCAGTAAGGCTTTTAATTTCTCTCCTAGGCCTGCTATTTGAAAAAATTTTCCCCGTTGTCGATCATTTTCGTGCTTCACCCCCCACGAAGAAAAATCAACCCCTCCGAGGCCAGGAAACCTCCAGTTGGCTTGAAGACTTTGGTATGCTTCTGAAACACATGTTTTCCGCAAAGGGTATTGAAGAATGGTTAATGGGCGCCAATTGCGACTCTACTCTGTGGCAATGCGCCATGCATTGGGGGCTTTCACGGGTCAGGTTTTGGAATACGGTGTAACGTTCTCCACCAGATTAGGTCGCTTTCCAAGTGTCAAGCACATGTGCTTCCTATCGATCTAGATAAAGTCCGGGAATGTACTTTCATCTGTTTATTAATCGTCACGTCGTGAGTCCTTTTGTTTGTTTATAAATTCATGATGCCCTTGTGGGCGGTGATCGTAGCTCCTATCATCGCCCCTTCCTCGTACGTATTGTCAGTATGCTACACCAGCGCCAGAGTGCTGGACGTCTGGACGTGCTTGGGACGTACGTAGGTACTGCGACCCCCCCCCCGCTCGACAGCAAAATTTTGTAAAAAACCAGAAATTTTTTGGGAAAAAATAGACAAAGTGGTAGGAGGTTGGAAAAATCTAGGGAAGAGGTAACATGGGGAGGGGGGTCGTACTTGAAGATGGAATTAGGGGATGGTCGGTCATTGTTTCAAGAAATGATCACATACGCAATGGCGTGCCGCTGGTTCCAGATAGTAATCGCTTCCTTCAGATCCTTTGCATCGGAGCAAATATTTATTGTAACAGTTAGACAGTGCATAGAACGATGTCTCGAATAAGCTGAGCTATCAAGAAATGTCGCTTTCTGTTCGCTCCCTCCCCCCCCCTACTTCGTTTTACTCGTCTATCCGTCATCGTCACCGTTATCGTCACCCTGAGCCTAAATGTAAAGAGAGAAAAAGTCTTGAGCGTAGTTTCAGCATTGACGTGAGAGATTGGCGCAAATCCCTCGACAGTGATCCCATCAAATTCGTAGGCAACGTGCTGTTGGTGCGAAACTGACACTCCGCTCCCAATGGTACTAACTTAGTCGAATACTACCTCGACTTCACTGCTTCTCGTAATGTGTGGCGTGGACGTGCAATTCGAG